ATGCTGCACATCTTGCCTGATTCTGCTGTGCATCGGACAGTCCTCTCCCCTCTTTCACTACCCACTTTTCCCAGTGGGAATGGTCCCTACTCACTGCACACATGCTCCCCACCTTCTCTACTTTGGCACAGCTGAGGACTATTTTACACAGAGCATAGAACCACCCCTGACCTGATCCAGCCCAAAAACGCTTCCTGTCCTTCCCACTCCAAAAGCCACAACATGACTAAAGCAGCTGCTCATTTTCACTGAGAGAAAGGGAAGAGTGAACTCCAGAACTAAAGATCTTCCATCGCTACTGCAGCTGGAATATCCTTTCCCCAACTAAACGCTGGCCCCAACGTCTCCATGCTTTCAGAGCACCTCAGCATTTTGTCTGCAGAAAAGCTGTTTCCTCCTGTTGTCAGGACACAAACCTCAGCACCAGTCCAAGCCAACACCTCAGATTCCAGCCACAGGCAAGCAGGAATGGAATGCAGTAGCCCATGACTGATGCACAAGTCTCCCCTGTCGGGAACACCAATGACTTGGAGACACACTCTTGGAAGCACTCACTCTAGCAAAGACCTGGCCAAAATACTGGCAGTGCCCTGGTGTGCAAACTGGCAGGGAAGCTTCAGCACATCTACCAGAAGCACTGCAAATGCTACACTGGGATAAACCAGAAATTCCCGGCACCAAGGATGCCTGAAATGCCAGACAGTCAGGACTCAAAAGGCACACACTGGTTGTGTTTCTGTGGGTCACATAGGAGAAAGACAAAGGCAACAAGATGATTTTAGTGGAGAAGAGAAATGCTCTCTACCCTTACCCATATACACCTACAAAGCTGTTTTCTGGAGTGGTTGCTTTCAGGATGGAAAGGCAAATCTCCAGCAGATTAAGTTTCAGAAGGCATCTTATGTTAGAAGCAAACTCAGGAGTGTTAGGACAGGAGATACAGTTCTTCACCTCCCCTTTTTTAAGAGAGACTTAGATTTAGGCATCTTTCTGACATCCCACCACTGTATACTCACTTCACTTTATTGCAGTCTTTGCTTACTGAAGACTAGCTTTCATCTTCATATCTCTCCTCTCTAACAGGAAGAAAGAAAAAAGGAAAAAAAATCACTCAGGTTTTGAAAGTTCACACCAAGTACAGACTAATACACTTAAGCTTGAGTGATTCTGATTCTGACTGAGGACAGGAAAACTAAGACACTGGAATTCACCAAGTGGAAACCCATAGCACAGCAGATATAGATTTCAGGCTCACTGACAAGTAACCAAAAAGGACTTTTTATCTAATTTGCTTGGATAGATTAATTGTTTTGTAGTGGCAGGGATGAAACTGCTAAACCTCTTATTTCCATTGCTGAAAATAAGCATTTCATCTCTTCTAGGTGGGCTTTTCATTTGCTCAGGAGGGGATTTGTGACCACGGAGAAACAGCTGTGGAAAGTTTTGATTCACATTTGCTTTAGACATTCGAGAACACCTTTATGGGAGGAGCATAATGGCTCCACTCCCAACCTGTGAAGTGGAAACTTTGCAGGAGTCTTTCAAACACCCCCTTGGTCCTTGTACAAACCCACCTCCCCTCCCACCTCTCACCTTTTTCTTCCCACTGGGCTCATCAGGACTGTCCATGGCTCTCCTCTTCAAGTCCCGCTTCCTTGCATGAGGGAGGTCCTTGGTCTCTGCTCTCTTCTGACCTTCACCTCTCCCGGGGCTCTGAGGGACTTTCACCAGGTAACTGAGCTCTTCTTTCACCCGGACAGGCTCAGGAGCTCTGGGGTCTCTCACTGGCGAGAGCAACTTCTTCGCCCCGAGAGCCAAGGGCTGTTTGACTTTGGCCTGGTGGGAGCCCTTTCTGTTCTCAAGGGGCTCTTGGAGGGCCGGCTTCAGGTCTTTCCTGTAAGTTGAGCCCAGCTTCACTCTGTCTTTGTTTGTCCCTGGAAGACTGGGCTCTGATCTCCAATGGATCAGGGTTGCTGTCCTCCTTCCGGCACCTCTTGGCCCCGTTGTGCACCAGGGGCTTGCCAGGCCTTTTGACACCCCCAGTGTGGTGGGTCTCTGAGCCTGAGGAGCTCTCTGAGTCACTGGTGTCTGAGGATGAAGAGCTCTCAGAGTCACTGCTCTCAGAGCCTGAGGAGCTCTCAGAGTCACTGGTGCTCCCTGACTTTGGGCTGCTGGATTGCAAAAATCTTGGAGCAGCAAGTGGAGAAGGAGGCTTTTCAAGAACCTGTTTTGGTCACAAAAACAAAGAGGAGCAACGGAGGAAGGGTTAGGTCAAGGACAATGGAACAAGGCAAGAAGTGGTGATGATTTCAAGGCATGTCTGTGTGCCTGGTGTGTCCAACATCCCAAACTGACCTGGTTGTCATCACTCTCCTCACTGTCACTGAGCTGCGGGACCTTCGGGAGCCAACTAAAACTACAACCAGAACACAAATATCAGCCAAGGCAGACACATTCTCAAGCACCAGACTCTGAACAAGATTTGGGTTGGGCTTGCCAAAACAAACCAACCTCCCCAATCCCTTCTGAACATTTGACACGTTCAGGCTGCAAAAGCCTGTCAGTGCCTGAATGGGTGGTAAAATGATAACACACAAGCAGGCATTTCATTGGGCTTTCCAGCTGACCTGGGCATATTGGGCAATGGAGGTCAGGAGCAAGGGCTGCCATCTAGAGGCAGCAAAGCCCAAGCTCAGTGAGGGAATGCTGCTCACAAAAGGCTCCCTGGCCCAGCCTGCAGGGGGGAAGGAGTCTGATCCTTGCACAGGAAGAGACTCCCATGCTCTCAGCCTGCACTGCTCCCCAAGGGACAGAAAGCACCCTCTGTGCACCAGAAGCTGTGCATGTTCACGCTCTCTGTGCTCAAGGGCTG